GGGGGGGGGGGGGGGGATGCTGCCTGAGGGAGGGGTGGTGACAAGCTGAGAGGCCAACGGGAGAAGAGGCAGCAGGTGACACTGTAGGTAGAGGAGACACTAAGTACAGAGGCCTCAACAAGAATTGACGAGTGTGAAGGACAGAAAGAAGCCAGCATGTGCCATGTGATGGTGCTGTAAGCACTGCTGCCTGAAAAGTCTGAGGCCAACCAGGCAACTTGTCAGTGCCTATGTCAAAATTTTTTTTAAAAATTAGCTCAAGGCCAGGGGTTTAGCTCAGTGGTTCCGCCACCTGCCTTGCAAGCACAAGGACCAGAGTTTGATTCCTGGTACCAAAGGAAAGGAAAAGAGACAGAGTGGCTGGAGAAAGGTGGATGGAGGGCAGGGAGGTCAAAGAGGTAACCAGAGGCCAGGTGAAGTGGGCCATATAGGAAGGAGTGTGGATTTCTTCCCTCAACTTGTTGTTTGAAAAATGTCATCAGGCTCACAGAAAAATCCAAATATGCTAATAAATATCCTTATATTCCCCACCTAGATTCAATAATTATTATTTCAAGCAGGGCATGGTGGCACACACCTGTAATCCCAGCACTCAGGAGGCTGAGGCAGGTGGATTACTGTGAGTTTGAGTCCAGCCAAGACTACGTAGTGAGTTCCAGTTCAGTCTCAAAAAAATCAAAAAAAAAAAATTATTTCATCTCATAGTTTCTTTACATATTAATATATATTTTTATCAAGCTATTTGACAGTAAATTCTAGACATGATATTCTGCCACACTGAATACTCAAGTCATATCTCCTAAAATAAAAGGATAATTTTCCTACATAACCAAAGCAGTATTTCCTAATAACATCTAATATATATGGCCCAGAATGAAATTTCTCAATTGGTGGGGGTGATTATTGTAGCTTTATCATTACATCCCCAGGGCCTTCTTCATTCATTACATCCCCAGCTTTTTTTTTTTTTTTTTTTTTTTTTTTTTTTTTTTTTTTTTTTGAGGCAGGGTCTAAGACACCCAGGCTAGGCAAGAACTTGCAATCTTCCTACCTTACCCTGCTAGAGTGCTGGAATTACAAAACTATGTTGCCACACACAACTGACTATCTCCAATTTGGGTTTTATTTTATTTTACAGTGCTAGGAATTGAACCTAGGGCCTCACACATATTAGGTAAGTGCTTTACCACTAAGCTACATCTCTAGCCCTTGGGTTTTATTTTTAAAAGTATGTTTTCAAGAGCTGGGGATTTAGCTCAGTGGTGCTGCCACCTGTCCCGCAAGTGCAAGGTCCCAAGTTCAATCCCTGGTACCAAAAAAATGTATGCCTTCAAGAGCAAGCCAAATTTCTTGCATTACAGTTGGGTTAGTCTGGATCCCCCCACCCCCCATAACAGGAATCAAACTTAGGACCTTGTGTTTTCAAAGGAGGCACAGTGCCATATCCTCAGGCTCTTTAAGTTTGGGAAAGGGTCTCCCTAAATTGCCTACGCTGGTCTAGAATTCACATTCCTCCTGGCCCAGGATTTGGGCAGGTGGGATTACACGTATGTACTATGGTGCATGGCCACGTTTTATTTTAGATGTGAGTGGAGTCCCTGGAGGGCACTGAGCAGAAAAATGACCTGTTCTAAGCTCCAAAAGCCCTCCGACTACTGAGACACTACTACTGTGACCTTTCGTACAGGCTGCAAGCTCAGCAGGCAGCCTGAGGTCCTCATCAGTAGAGAATGTGACGGCCAGAACTGCAGAGTTGGGTTGGTGCTCAGAGATGGGAATTCAGGAGTGCTCTGAAGGTACAGGCAGGTGTGGGCAGTGAAAGGAGGGACCACAGGCAGTCCACAGTGGGCCCAAAGCAGGCACAGCCAGCAGAAGTGAACACTGTGCTACAGAAGTACACTTTAAGATGGGTGTGAGCAGCTCAGGGAGGCGGGGATTTGGGAGGCATTCGCTGCTAGATGAAATGAGTTATGGGAGTAGATAAAATCAACAAGAGAAAACAGAAAAAAAAAAGCCAAAGAGGGAGCTCTAGGGCATTCTATATTTAGTGGTTTATAGAGGAAAATGCACCAAACATTAGGAAAAAAACACAGGAGAAAATGAAAATTGAAGAAGTATGGGAAAGAAAGTGGTCTGAGCAAACAGGAACGTTTAGTGATGCCAATGACTTATTAAGACAGTGGCCTTGATATGATTAACTTTAGCAAAAAAGAACAGAGAAAAGGGATGGGGATTTAGCTAGGTGGCACTGCACCTGCCTCACAAGTGCAAGGTCCTGAGTTTGATCCCCGGTACAGGGGATGGGAGCAGGGCATGACGGTATGTAGAATGGCAGCGCCGCAGCAGAGGGCAGAAGTGCAACAGGTATTTTCCCAGAGGAGGACAAAGGGCCAGGGATTCTCAGCTTGAGGGGAAAAGTTTCCCACAGGTATAGCGTTTTATTATGAAGGAAGGACGGCCAGACCACACAGGTACAGGCTGGCTGGAGCGTTTGGTGGTAGGAAGATGAGGTAATTCTCAGCTAATTGCATTTATTTTCCCATGATCTGTTTAGAAAAATTAACTGGGAAGAAAGGGAACCAATTTCAGGGAGAAGATAGGAATTTTTTTTTTTCAGTACTAGGGGATCCTGAGCTAAATACCCAGCCCAGATAGGAAATAATTTTTAATTATTTTTCTCAAAATAAAGTTATGGTATACGCCCAACTACCTATGAGACTGAGGCAAGACAATCACAAGTATGAAGCCAGCCAGGAAAACTTAACAAGTCTCAAGAGATACTGATGGTAGGGACTTTCAGAAAAAGATCTACCCATAATTGTGAGGCCTTAATGCTAGCAGAGTTCAACTTCAGGGAGAAGTCTCTCATGCCCATTCCTTTTTTTGAGACAGTGTTTCACTATGTAGCCCAGGTTGGCCTCCAACTCCTGCCAAGGCTTCCTGAGTTCTGCGATATCCACATAAAATTCTCTTGCCCACCAGATGAACTTCTGATGTACCATTCTGGCACTGTCAGGAAGCACTGTGTAATTCTGAATAATTATCCAGCATCTCCTACATAAAATGTACAGTACTTAGTGCAGTACAGACTTTCAAGGTGGGTGGATGACATCACAAGGAAATTAGCTGTATTTCCACATGCATGTGAAAATATCCAGATTTCAAGGTGGAACTCAACAAATCCTCAAAGAGAACACTTGAAAAATGCTAAAAAGCATAGAGTTTCTGGGATTGCTGGATTGGTGGACCTATGGCCAAGAGAACAAAGAGGAGGGGACAAGGTGCCTGATCAGTGTCATTTCAGTTAGACCATGAAGGACAGGTGGAAAATATTCGTGCAGACAAACAGGGAAAGAGGTCAAAAAGGGAAAAAGGGTCAGAATTGGAACTACCACAGATAAGCAAAAGAACCACGGAAGGGGATGCAGAATCTGATAAAAGACTCCAACTACACAGCAAAAAGCTATGGGACCTAGCTGAGTGTGGTGGCACACACCTGTAATCCCAGCACTCAGGAAGCTGAGGCAGGAGGATCATCATGAGTTCAAGGCCAGCCTAGGCCACCCAAGGCCAGCCTGAACTACACCGTGAGACCTTCTCTAACAAAACAAAACAACTATGGGACCTAACCTAAGAAATTAAGGCTTTATTCATGAAGTACCCAGGAGCCATTACACACTATAGACTAGCCGGGCAAATTGGTGCACATCTGTAGTCCCAGCATTCTGGGAGGCTGAGGCAAGAGAATCCTCACCTGAGCAATATAGTGACTTAGACTGTCTCTACTGCTACTAATAATGTAGCTTAGTGTGAAGGCCCCAGGTTCAATCCCCAGTAACAAAGAAAACAAAAACAAAAAATACTATAGTCCAGAAAGGGCACTTTTATCATTCAGACAGACACTAGCAGTGCCTGAGCCCTAAATATACTGCTAAACCATTTAAAAGCATTTGTGGTGACCCATTCACTGTGAATAGAACAGCTTGCAGTGCAAACCTTTGTAGTATAATACGTTAGTACTATGTGGGAAATCTCAACTGCAATATATAAAATCATCCTGAATTCCCACATTTTCCTCCAAACACCTTGCAAACTTACCCTTTTTGAAGCACAACACCACCGCAGTAATAAAGAAATAAATGCTTGTATAGACCAGGTTGAGTGATCAAGTTATCTACACAGCTGATCCTCTAAAAATCATAAACTATCAAGCGACTTGGGCACTGTCACAATTCACAGAACTCCTACAGTTTGTAGTTTTCCAAAGCCGAGCCAATTATTTCCTCAGCTGTCTCACAACTGGCATTTGGGAAACAGGCTGGCGCTTTTCAGGGCTCCTGTTTTCTAACTGATAACCTGGGAAACACTAGAGTGCTTCCAATAAAACCAAACCAATCATGCTGGAGCAGAGGCCTCCATGAGCCTCCAGAAACGTCGGCCTCGCGTTAGGGTGGCAACGTCGGCTCCTCTCCAGTTTCACAGAGTCCCAACAACCGCGAGCCAAAGCCACCGCCCGGCGACCGGGTTCCCGCCGGGTCTCCGCGACCCCTCCCCACGCCCAACGGCCCCCGCGCCTGCCCTACCCTCAAGTTAGCCCGGAGGCCTAGCCGCTTGGCCAAGTTTTGCAGGTCGCTGTATTTGAAGGAGTCCAGCTCCTCCGCGGAAGGGATGGCCATCGTGTTCTAGCACTCCAGACAACACACAAAGAAGCGGACAGACACCCAGAAGAGCGCCGTTCAAAACTCTGGCGCCACCGGCGGCGTTGATCCAGCGCAGCTTTATAGTCAGTTTAAAAGACGGACGCTGCAATTCCATTGGTTAAAAATGATCTGAAGGCGGGGTTTATGACACTGGCCAATAGGGAGCCTGATCCCGACTGTTCCCCCACCCACTCACTTCCGTCAATAAGCACGCTCCGAAAGAAGGGAGGAGGGCCTAGGAAACTACCGCGCGGGAAGCCTACGGCTTATATTGGCTAATGAGGACCGAGAGGCCCGCCGGGGCGGGGCCTGGTGCGTTTGAAACCCAGGCGCAGACAACCGGAAGATGGCTTCCGGGCCGCGGAGGCGTTGCTCGCAGTCTACGACGCTGTCCCGGAGCAATTTTTGCAAGGGCGCCGATACGATTGGCGAGCCATGCTTGACGACCTCCATGGAGTGGGATACACAGGTGGTGGAGGGGTCTTCGCCAATCGGCCCCTCGGAGCTGAGGGCGGACAAGCAGCCCACCGGCCCGAGGCTGCCGCTGTGGCTGCAACCCGAGAGGTGCGCAGTGTTTCAGTGCTCGCAGTGCCGCGCCGTGCTCGGCGACTCGGTGCACCTCGCCTGGAACCTGTCGCAGACCCTCGGGGCCGTGGTCTTCTCCAGTGAGTAGGCCGCGTGGGGCGGGTGGAGGTGGGCCACCTGTTGGCTGGGAAGTGGCTGGGCGAGGAGACTGACGAGCTTTCGGAAGATCAGACTGCCCAGGGAAAGCGGGGAAGCGTTTAATTTTGTTGCTTGTTTCCGGTATCAGGAATCGAACCTCGGGCCTCGCACAGTTCGGGCTAGCGCTCTAGCTGTGCTACGCCCCTTTTTCTTAATTTTTATTGACCATTGAGTCTAGGCGGGAGGTTTTCCTTTTCAAGAGCCATCGAGTTACATATTTGACCTGTGTTTGTCTTCCTAGAAGTCACACAAAACGTCGCTTTGGAAGACCCTTTTCTGGTTGGCATTGAGGGTTTGCTCAAATGCAGGTACTGTACTCTCAAGAACTCGGGTGGGGCTGGTCTCTGACTTTAGTGAGTCCTGAGAGTGCAGGATAGGGCTGGCAAACTGTTGCAATAGAAGAAAAGTTTAGGGCTGCCATAAAATATATTTGAATGATAGGGTGCGTCTTTAACCTATTCGACTCCTGTAGCTAATATTAATACATTAATGAAACGAAAAAGTTAAATGTGTATTCCTGTTTCCCTGAAAATAAGACCTAAACAAAATAATCAGCCTTGAAAACTAGAGATAAAAAATGCCAGCCTTACCTGTCTCTCGGTGTAGCCCTGCGCGGGAGAATAGTGATGACATTTGAAAATAACCTTGTTACCCTGAAGCTTGGGTTGTGCTCAATATAATGTTTACTTAAATGCAATTTTCCTTGTATTGATTATAAGGAAAGTACATTCTTTTTAAAGTTTCTCTGTGCTTTATATTAGTTTCCGTTAAGAAACTTGTCTATAGGTACTATGCTTTGAACTAGGCAATGTACAAAAAATACAGTACTACACACATGATGTAGGACATTTACCAATAAATTTAGTGTTTTTTCCCTTTGCTTGTTGTTGGTGGTTTTTTTTTTAATATCCAGAGAAATTAATATGTTTCCCTTAAGCATATGATATTTTAGCACTTTTTTTTTTTTAACCCAGCATATCCAGCTCTTTTTTTTGTTTTTTGAGTCAGGGTCTTGGTACGTAGCCCAGGCTAACCTCGAACTCATGGTAACCCCCTAGCTCTTTTTTTTTTTAAGTTTTTATTTTCAGACGGTGTCACTAAATCACAGTTGCCCAGGTGGGACTTGAACTTGTGACCCTTCTGCCTCAGCTTCCCAGAGTGTTTCCCAAATTACAGGCGTACATCACCATGCAGGGCAGGTACTTTTATTACCAGAATTTTGCTGCGTAGTATATGTTATGTAAATAAAGTTTTCTCTTACCAAACCATTTTAAAGTTGCTTTCAGAGCCAGACATGGTGGCAAATGCCTGTAATTCCATCATTCTGAAGGCTAAGGCTAAGAGAATCACCAAGTTTGAGTCCCACCTAGGCAATTTTGCAACTTAGTGAGACCCTGGCTCAAAATAAAATGATTAAAAAAAAAGTGGCTGGGAATGTAGCTCAATATGAAGGCCTTGCATTCAGTTTTTCCCCTCCCCAACTGTTTTTAGTACATGCATGGTAAAATAACTGTTTGTGGGTTGTTTGTTGTTTTGTTTTGTTTTTGGTACCGGGGATTGAACTCCGGTCCCTGTGCTTGCGAGGCAGGCAGCAGAATCACTGAACTAAATTCCCGGCCCTTGTTTCTTTCTCTTGAAGCAGGGTCTTGCCATCTAGTTCAGGCTGGCCTCAAACTCATAGTGAGTGATCCTTTTGCTTATGCCTTCTGAGTGTTAGGATTACAGGTGTGTGCCACAATGCCCAGCTTTGAAACAGTTTTTCTTAAAATATTTCTTTGTAATATTTGGATATGCCATATATATGTAAATGTGATGTGTCTTGCATAAGTAGTGTAAAAACTAAAATCAACATTTGACTCTTCATTCAATAATCTTTTAGATGATAAAAGAAAATAGATTGCTTGCTAGAGTAAGGGATTTCTTCCCTTTCTCACTTAGGGCATTTTTTTCAGTTAATATTAAAAATATGTCTGGTGTAGTAGTGCATACCTATAATCCTGGCACTCTTGAGTCTGAGGCAAGAAGATCACTGGGAGGTTGAGGTCAACCTGGGTTACATAGTGAGTTTAAGACCAGCCTGGACATAATGAGACCCCATCTCAGAAAAATAAAAAAAAAATTAAATATCCGAAAAAAAAATTCAGATTTGAGTTCTATTAATAAATTAGTTTGTAAGCCCCCCAGTCAACTTGAATATTTTGCATCTACTTTAAATTGATACCATAGTGATTTAAACATGGTGATTTGTTTAAAGATTTTTAAAGTTAGTCTGATTAGCTGTTTTCTGCTTTTCAGAGATAAATTATTTTTCTCTACTTAAATGACAGTTGTACATCCATGATTGCTTTTATGGCTACATTCCATGAGAGCTTCTATAATTTAAGGTGTAATAGCAGTAAAACCTAAGCTAACCTATTTAGCATCATTTCATTTGCATTCCTGTTATAGTATAGTTTTTTCTTTATTTATTCATTTTGGTAGCAGAGATTGGACTTGGGACCTTACGCTTACAAGACAGACGGTGGAATCGCTGAGCTAAATCCCCAGCTGTATAGTTAGTTTTTCCTTGTATCTTCAGTGATAGGAATGCTTTTAGAGACTGGTTACTTTTTACTGGTTTTCTGATTTTCTTTCTTACCCTTGTTCTGCTTTCCCCACCCCAGCACTTATAACCGGTTATTCTGCAGTTCCTGTGGGATTCCCATTGGTTTCCATCTGTACTCCACACATGCTGCTCTGGCTGCCCTGAGAGGTCATTTCTGTCTTTACAGTGATAAGATGAGTTGGTGAGTAGACACAGATACTATCAAGTACGTTATAGAAGATCTTCCAGAAAAGACAAAGTTTATGTACCAAAGAAAATAGTAACACCAGGCATTTTCTTTTATAAGAAAGATGATACTAGAATCAGAATCTGATCTCATGATGTTACACTCATTTCAAGGTCTTTCATACCATGTTTTAATATCTGTAACATGGAATACTTCAGAGGGTAGCTCACTGAAGGAAATTCTGGAAGGTAAGATTACAGAGTAATGTTGCACCAGACACCATTTCCATTTATGTCCTGCTCTGACCCTGTGGCCATGGTGTTAGTGTACGTGGCACAATTCACACATAAGCCAAGCGAGGCCAAGCACATGTCCCAAGCTAGGGATTTGAAACAAGGACCCAGAGACACCAGTCTTTTATAAATGGTAGTAGTGGTAATGTTAGCTAGAATTATGTCACATGGTCAACTTAAGCTGAGAGGCAAGTATGTAACCATAGGTTTGTCACGGTTGTTTTTGTTTTTGCTTTAGTTTTGGTGTTTTTGTTTTAACTGATCCAGCAGATAAGATTGGGCACAGGCCTACTATACACAAAATCTGGATCGCATTAATAAGTGAGGAACTGTTGCTGGCTGGGCAACCAACACTATCTGTCACATTATTTCAAACTGTGCCACAGGATGGAGTGGGGCTTACACTCATCATGAATAAATAATCATATAACTTTGTTTTGGTCTTCATTTTGTCTTGGGATAATTTTGTCTTTGGAAAAGGGTAAGGTGAGGCACAGTCTTTTAGATGATTTATTATGACTTTGTTTTTCCAATAAAATACATCACGAATCTTAAAATGGAACTTGGTAAAAAGGCAGGATTTGCTTGACAGATACGTCTTTTAGATGGTAAGCTGATTCATTGAGAGTCTTAACTGTGGTAAGGTATGATTTTTTTTTTTCTGTCCAGCTATCTCTTAAAAACAAAAGCCATAGTAAACGCATCTGAGATGGATATTCACAGTGAACCTCTACTAGAAAAGATTACAGAGGTAAGATTCTTGATGGTTATCTGGCTCCTTTAATAGAGACAACTTTTAGTGAGTTGTACAAATGAACTTGAAGATGAAATGTGATAGACACTATGATGATCCTTTATGTTTGGCTTGGTGAACCTTAGAGAATTTGTAACATGAGACAAAGTATCCAAGTTATATTGAGAGGTCTAGTTCAGGAGGAGGGAAAGGGGCTCAATATAGCATTCTTATTTTCTCTTTTATGCAGGGAATCAAAAGTATTATCCTGCATAGAGCTGGCATTTTTTTTTTTTTTTTTTTAGTATCAGGGATCAAACTCAGGACCTCATGCTTTCGAGGCTGGTACAGCGCCACTGAGCTAAATTCCCGGCCCCATCTTTTGTTATTTGTTTTATTTTGTTTTGGTGTTTTGGCGCACTGAGGAATAAACTCAATGCCTTCACACTGAGCTGCATTATTTGTTTTGAGACAGGGTTTTGTTAAGACACTAAGCTGCCTGGACTGGGCTCGAATTTGCCCTCCTGCCTCATCCTCCCAAGGGTGCTGAGATGACAGGCATGTACCATCTAACATATTTTTTTTTCTTTCTTTTTTTGGTATTAGAAATCAAACCCAAGGCCTTTTACGTGCTAAGCAAGTGCTTTACTATTGAGCTACTTTCCCAGCCCTTTTATATTTTGAGCTAGGGTCTTGCCAGGTTGTCCCAGTTGGCCTCAAACTTGGACTCTTTCATGCTGGTCTTGAATTTACTCCATAGCCCAGGCTGGCCTTAGCCTTACAGGTCTCTTCAGTCTCCTGAGTAGCTGAGGTTTATTTGTGTGCCGCTTTGCCAGGCTTAAGAGCTGTAATCTTTGAAAGTACCTTGTTCTTATATGTCTCAGGGGAAAGAGTGGGAAAATACTTTTGTTTTGTGGTTTTAGTGTTGGGATTGAACCCAGGGCCTTCCACATGCTAAACACATACTCTACTACTGAGCTACATCACCAGCCCAAAATTCTTACTGAAATGGAAGATAGGTTTTATGAATAGTTGATTGTGGGGGACTTGGAGGAAGAGTGAATGGTTAAACTGCAGGGCAAAAGCACAAGGTTCTGTGAGGAATGAATGGTTAAACAAGTTTAGATTAGTGAAGCATGTTGTATCTGGCTGTTGCCCTTACCTTTTCCCCAAAGAAAACTGCCTAGCCTTGAGACAGCACCTTCCCAAACTGTTTTTCTTCTGCTTTTTTAACTTACACTGATATTCTAAATAAAGCTGGAAATTTTGCACTCTCATTGAGATGGCTCCTCTGGGCCTCTCAGTGATGGAACTAAGTCTTGTCTCCAAGTAATCATTCATCCTCTATGCTGCCATGGTACAGTTGATGCTTTCCAGATGAAGCAAGCTTTTGGTTTTGGTTTTGTTTTTTTTTTTGTTTGTTTGTTTGTTTGTTTTGGTTTTGTTTTTTGTTTGCTTGGGGTTTTTTCTTTGTTTTGAGTCAGGGTCTCACTATGTAGTTGAAACTGACCTGGAACTCACTATGTAGCCCAGGCTGGTCTCGAACTCACAGTGATCCTCCTGCCTCAGCCTCCTGAGTGCTAGGATTATACACGTGTGCCATGACACCCAGCCAAGCAAGCATTTTTGTACCTTGCTGATTTCATTCTGAGTGAATACTGGCTATACCTTCACTACTGTTAGAACAACCTTAGAATTCACTGTTGTTTTGTTTTGTTTTTGGTACTGGGGATCAAACTCAGACCCTTGTGCTTGCAAGGCATCCTGTCTGACCTCTTCCCTCCCTTCCCTGTCTTTCCTCCATCTGCTCTTTTACACCCCCCCCTTTTTTTTTTTTGAGACAGGGTGTCACTATGTAGTTCAGGCTGGCCTCGAACTCGCTGTGTAGTTAAATTACTTTTTTGCATTGCACTCAAAGTTAAAGGAGGAAAGGTTTATTTCACCTTATAGTTTGTAGAGGGTTCAGTCCATGGTGGGCTGATTTCAAGGCAGGGTGGCAGTGGCATGGTAGAGGAACAGTGCAGAGAAGCAGCTCGTGGCAGGGCAGGTAGAAGGCAGCAAGCAGGAACAGCAGAGCCTCCCTTTCTATGCCCTGCAGGCTACACCATCCAGGGTGGGCCTTCCCATTACTCATCCCATCACTATGCTAACCCAAATAGTAGACTAATCTAGCACCATACACCCTTAATCCACATTCCCACACTGTAGATCCAGCCACCTCCAAAAAGCCCTATCTATGAAGGCATGAGGCTTTGGATAGAAAGAGGCTTTGGCTCTAGATAGAAGCCTAGAACATGATAACTTTAAATCGATGTTCCTTTTGTATGCTGAGTAACACTACTAAATTTGGTTCTAAATGTAACTCTTCTGCCTGACATGGTAGTGCATGCTTGTAATCCCGTCACTTGGGAGGCTGAGGTGGGAGGATCACCATGAGTTCAAGGCTACCTAATAAACCTTATCAAGATCCTGTCTCAAAAAACAAAACAAAATGAATGAATGAATAAATGAAGCTATTCTGAGGTAAAAGAACTCTTAAAAAGTAACTATATCAAACATTTGTTCAAAACCTGATAACCAGAGCTACTTTTGAACACTGTTAAAGGAATATTAAAGTCAGAAAGGCATTTGTTACTGTTAACACAGGAATAAAAAGCAAAGCTAGAATCTGTTTTCACGACTTTGTATCTAAAGATCTTACTGTGAACTTGAAGTTCTCTCAGAAATAAATAAACTAGCTTGAATTTGAAGTGGCGTTACAACTAGCAAGTTTTGAGTTGAGCATAAGATGCCCTGACAGCTCTGTATTTCTCTTCCCAGCTGAAAGAGAAGATGATACTCATGCACACTTGCTTAGACACGGCCATGAAGACGCTGAGGGAGGGGACCCCTGACCAGTCCAAGCCAGAAAACTGATCCAAAGCCCAGGCTCATGTATACGCTTCAAGCCTCTCTGGTACCTTCAACCACAGGGGCTGTTTGATCTTTTTTTTCTTTTCTTTTCTTGAGACAAGGTCTTACTCTATCCCACGCTGGCCTTGAACTCTCAATCCTTCTGACTCACCTCCCATGTGCCAGCATTCCTAGCTTGTTTGGTCATTTCTTAGAAAAAAAGAAATAGGCTTCAAGAATTGGGAGAGGAAATTAAAAATAAAAACAAAGCAAGAAAAAAAAAAAGAATGGTGGGAAGAAAGGTGGTTTATTATTATGTTTATTTCCTAGTAGATGATACATTAGGGCCAGGGATTTAGCTCTGGCACATTGCCTGCCTTGCAAGTGCAAGGTCCTAAGTTTGATCTTGGTACCAAAAAATGGTGGGGAGGTAGCTTAGTGGTGCCATAGCCTGCCTCGAAAGCACAAGGTTGTGAGTTTGATCCCTGGTACCAAAAAAAGATGAGACATTAAGGAGTCTTCTGTACATGTTTCACAGCTATTTGCCCTAAGAACTTATTGTGGCTTATCAGCTTCATAATACCTGTCTCTGAAAATATCTTTCAGTACAGATTTAAGGATTAGAGTGCAGTACCCCCTATATCCTCTGATCTCAAGATGCAAGATTGGGCTAAAAATAGTTGGCCTTAGGGTTGATTACTGTTACTCTGAACCTGGAGCAATTGTTATGAGTACTGGTGAATCTTTTTTTAATACAAAATACACATACATAATATCCTATCAATGACATTTAATAAACTAATATACAATTTGTCTCTTCTTTTTCATCACTAAGGTACATCCCCAGTCCTTTTTATTTATTTATTTGTTTGTTTGTTTGCTTTTTTGAGACAGGGTCTCACTGTGTAGTTGAGACTGACCTGGAACTCACTGTATAGCCCAGGCAATTCTCGAACTCACAGCAATCCTCCTGCCTCAGCCTCCAAGTGCTGGGCTTACAGGCGTACACCACCACACCCAGCTCCCTTTTTATTTTTTGAGACAGTGTCTTGCTGAGTTCCCAAGATGGCCTCAAACTTGTGATCCTTCCTCAGCCTCCCCAATAACTTGCGCTTGTCAAGCAGGTGGTGGCACCACTGAGCTAAATCCCCAGTCCTTCTTCCATTTTTTAAGAGGTACAGTATAACATTATGGCAAATGAGCAGGCACTGAAGCTGAACTATTTGGTTCAAGTTGTGGCTTTGGTTTGGGTACTTACTAGTATCCATGAACTTGAAGAATAAACTTTGTTTCTTTGTAAAGAGGTAAAAAACACTGCCACTATTAGTGAAGACTAAATGAGTTAAAGAATACATACTTGTAATAGCCAGGCATGGTGGCACACACCTGTAATCCCAGCACTGGGGAGGCTGAGGCAGGAGGATCACTGTTCAAGTCTGGCCTAGAATACATAATGAGACCCTGTCTCAAATAATAAACCCAAACAAACAAAAACTACATACTAGTAATGAGCCATGCTTAACACATAGTAAGTCCTCAGTAAAAAGCATTAACTTTTCTTATGTTGATTTACATGCATATATTTAAAGGCAGCTTAAAAAGTCTGCACCAGGGGCCAGGGATTTAGCTCAGTGGTGCTGCCGCCTGCCTCACAAGCACAAGGTCCCGAATTTGATCCCCAGCACCAAAAAAAAAAAGTCATGCACCATATAGAGATGTTTCTACTTGGTGAATGCCTGTGATCCCAGCACTTGGGAGGCTGAGGCAGAAGGATTGCTTTGAGTTCAAGACCAGTCTGGACTATGTAGTGAGTTCCAGGTCAGTCTCAACTACATAGTGAGACCCTGTCTTAAAAAAAAAAAAAAAAATGTTTCTACCAACATTGAACTGAATATATGATGGCAATCTCATTAGATTAGAATGCAGCCAAAAAATGCCTTTCACCTAGTGACATAAGCCATTGTGACCTTGTGACACATTACTTATGGTGATGCTGGTATAAACATACTATGCTGTCGGTCATAGAAGTGCAGTACTTACAATTATGTACAGTTCATAATACTTGATAACTGAAAAACTTACTGGTTTCTATGCTTATACTATGCTTTTCTCATTTTAGTGTACTCAAAAGTTCACTGTGAATGATTGCTAGTATCTTACCACTTTTCTTGACTGCAAGGGGCGTGTCAAGTGACTGACGTATCCTAACTCTGTCCATGCACAGTTAGGATGTTCACACCATTAGGTAATCACCCACTGACAGATTTCTCAGAGAATGTTCCTTTAGTATGTCATTCATTAAGTATTTAAGAATTCCCTAGGAAAATAAACATCACATACTGAAGCTATATATATATTTTTGAGTACAGGGGATAGAACCCAGGGCCATCACACTGAGCTACATTCCCAGTCCCTTCTTCCTTTGTATTTTATTTTGAGAAAAGTTCTTACTAAATTGGCCAGGCTGGGCCACCATGGAATGTGCCACCATGCTTGGTTTCCTTTTGACTTTTTTTTTTTTTTTTAAGACAGGGTCTCACTATGTAGTTCAGACTAGCCTTGAACTATGTAACCCAAGCTGGCCTCCAACTCACAGTAATTCTCCTGCTTCAGCCTCCCTAGTGCTGGGATTATAGGTGTATGCACCACTGTGCCTGGCCTTTTTGAGTCTTATTGACAGAAACTGACATCTAACACAGTATGTGCTGCATGCAGGATATCAGTATTTGTTAAATGAGGAGTCTCATAAATCAGGAAGTATTACATTAGTCATAATAAAAACCAGTTTCTTTATGATTGGCTATTGTCAAATGGGGTTTGTAAAATCTTACTGAAAACTCTCCTAAAACAAGAATCTCTTTATTATGCTTTAGTGTTAAAACCTTATCGTACAACTAAACCAGTGTTTACACATTAAAATACAGTGGTGCAACAGTTCACCAACAGTTCTCAGGTCAACACTGAACCTAACCATTGAATTTGATTCAGTTCTTGTCCTACTTTGTTTGCAACCGGAATCGTGGAAAGAATCAAGTTCATGAACCAAGCTACCCCTGTAAAAGTATCTTAAATGCTATATATATTTCAAATGGGAATGAGTTCCTGGAATAGTTTTATCATTATACTTTTGTCTTACGGAAAACTGTTTGCTTATGGATGGAGCATAAGGTTGACCTAAGGGTGAAAGGGCAGTGCTGCTTTCTCTTCAGATGCCCACCTGCTCCACGGAATAGCATACACCACAAACCGCCACAACTAACTACCAGGAAACCCAGGTCTTTTGTTTTTGGGCATCTAGAACCTTCTTCAGCATAGGCCTATGAAAGTTTCCTTCTTTCATCATCACCATTTACAGCATTCTTCAAAATTAGCAGTTCTGGGCCGGGGATTTACCTCAGTCGTTCTTCCACCTGCCTCCCAAGCTCAAGGACCTGAGTTCGATCCCCGGTACCAAATAAATAAATAATACAATTTTTAAAAAGAGAAATCAGCTAGTTCAAGTAACAACACAGAAATTTCAGTGCATTTGCCCATGCTGCTTTATTGCTCAAAATATGTCTATATACACAGGTGCAGAGTTTCCAACTCTTACAATAGCTCCTTTTTACATCAAAGAATAAAATTTCTTCAAAACTTCCAAAGATGCATAGATTAAACAGCAAGCTGCCTTTTGTGATACTTCAAACATACTCAGTTTTAACATTTTATATCTTAATTATGCAATGGAGGATATACAGAACAGCAAGTAAACACAAGTAATTCCTGTACTTAAAAGGACAGTAATAAATTATGAAACGTACTGTAATGTTCTTAAATCTTTTGTGTGTGAGACAGGGTACCTATGTATAGTTCAGGTCGGTCTCATATCTCACTCTGTGGACCAGGTTGGCCTTGAACTCATAGCAATCTTCCTGCCTCAGCTTCTCGAGCTATCACACCTGGCAAGATGAGTCCTTTTAAGCTTAGTGCCAAAACTAGTATATTTGTAAAGATTTATGAAAACGTATTGCTAGAATACTTTACCCCCTGGAAGGAAAAAATAAGTATTATTTTGCTAGGTTGGGGATTGGACCTGGGCCCTCATGTGTGCCACGCTCCCAAATCAAAATGTATTCTGCTGATATGGCACACTTCATCACCAAGGGAGATAAAGCATTTTAAAAAGTCATCATGACTACCCTCACTTTAAAGGAGTTTAGAAGTCTGAACTCCTGGAGAAATTTCCCATGAAGTGTGGTTTTCCCGTACTATTTTAATATGCCTTAGATTAATAGGAACAGAGCTTAGAGAAATTCTGACTTTATATATTTGGTAGGCCTGGTAGCAGTAAGTGGGAAGGGACAATTATATCTCACTTCTTGCATTTGAGTGGAAACCAAATATCAGAAGGACAAAGTGTACTCAACGCTGACGCACTGAAGTAACAATTCATTCTGTATGGTATCTGTAGTGAAGTCCCACAGCAAAGAATATAAAGTTAAAATAATTTTGAAAAAATTATTTTCAACTATAGAACATGAAAACTGGAAGGAACCTAATGAAAATCATGTCTTACCCTGAATTTTCTATTTAGGCTTCATGATTGAAATCATGAATTCAATTTGTACATTATTTGTCGTAATTACTTGTTTTACTTGGTTTTTTGCTTTTTGCAGTACTAAGTATCGAACCCAGGGTGTTGCATATGCTTGGCTAGTGCTCTAAAAAAGCTACATGCCCAGGCCTTTGAAAAATGTTTTTTGAGTCTTGCTAAATTGCCCAGACTGGCCTGGAACTGCCAGCCTCAGCCTCTGAGTGCTGGGACGATAGGTGTGCCATGCTCTTATCTTTTAAAATGGGGAAAACTTTTTGTTCACCTGGGATCAAAAGCTTTAGGAAAGAAATTGTACAATCTGACCAAACCATCAAGAATAAAACCGGCTATTAAAAAAAAATGAAGGTTTGGGCCAGGGATTTAGCTCAGCAGTGCCATGCCTGCCTCACCAGTGCAAGGTCATGAGTTTGATCCCCGGTACCAGAAAAAAAAAAAAAAAAAAAA